AGGCTGTTGATGAGACCCAGGCGTCTGCCTCGAGGAGTTTCAGGGAGTGAAAGTGGCTGCCTGGGACCCTGGGTGCCTGGTGTTTACCCAGAAATTGTGCTAATCCTGCTAATTCCTGTGATTTACGCAGCCTCTCGGCTGTCTACCGCCTTTGCCTCCTGGAAGGGAGGAGGGGGCAGCAGCTGATCTGCAGAAGACAGGCCTGTGCCTAGTGGGCACGGCAGGGGCTCCCCCGGCAGGGTCAGCTCCCACATGCACTCACGGGACCCCGGGTGCTTCCACGTGCATGCCTGTTCCCGCCACCCACAGAAGTCTGGGTGATGAGAATCTGAATCAGTCCCCTCCCTCCCCAGGCTCTGTTCACCCTGGTCTTGTGGCGGCCGCACCCTGAGGTTTCCGGGTGGCATTTTGGCCAGAGGACCTGGCTCTAATCCCGGCCCTTCTCCCTCCGTGAAGTAGCCTCGGGCAGCTCCCTGCCCTCTGTAAGGATGGGGACGATGACACCCACTCTGACAACGTAACAGGGCGGGGATGTTGGCTCGAGGGAGCTGCAGCTGCTGTTTCTGAGAAAACCACAGCCTTTCCCTCCCGTCCACTCCAGTCTCCTCCAGTCCCTTAGCAGAAGTTGTCACAGTTCCTTCTTGAGCCTCTTTCTTTCCTTGGCATCCCTGACACTAAAGTCCAAGGGTTCTGAGTTGTTGGCCTCAGTTTCCCCATCTGCATTTAGAAAGGGTTGAGTTGATGCCTCCCAGGAGCCCACCTGCCCCTCTCGGGTTGGGGCTGGGATTTGGTCCCATACGTTGGCCCTGTGGGCGCCTTGAGTCCTCTGCTGGTTTCTGGTCCGTGGAGCCCTGGGCCCTCCAGACACAGGCCTGGGTCCCTGCGCCCACTTTATTCCATCTGCAAGGGGTCTGAGCACCTGCTAAGCTGGGCCTGGGGACCCAGGGGTACAAGGCTTAGCCCTTCCTGGGGGAGGTCACAGTCGAGCAGGAAGCCAGCTGGGTGTGTGGCAGATTATGACCAGGCTGTGGGAGAGGTGCTGTGATGGTGGGCAGTGTCCAAACCCAGCAGAGGGACACCTGATTCATTTGGGGATGTGCAGGGCCTAGCCAGGTCCCAGCCTAGCTCAACGCGAGGCGTGAGGCTGACTGTCAATGAAGAATTAGAAAATAAAGAGTTAGTGAACGATGTACAGCTGCCCCCTGTCCCCCACCCCCCATCAGCCCCAGCAGACAGGAGCCACTGTATGACCATGGTGTTGGCAAGCAGCCCTGGACAGAGCCTCAGCTTTTGGCCTTGGCTGGAGGTCCCAATCCACCGGTCTCGACACCTTGGACATGGCACTAGGGCTGGGGGGCCATGCCAAATCCTGCTTCTGGGGCCCCCCTGGTTCCTTGCACAGTGCTCCCCATACCTGAAGAGCTCCATAGTCAGTTACCTTAATGCCTGCCCGGGAATTTGGGGGCAAATCCCTTAGCAGTGAGGGATCCCCATGTGAAGGACAGCTCACTGTGATGCTTGAGAGTATGGCTTTAGGACCACATAGACTGAGTTCAAGGCCTGGCACACAGTCACTTCTGAGTAGTGTGCCTTTGGGCAAGTTACTCAGCCTCTCTGAGCATTGGTGTCTCCCTATGTAAAATGTTGTGAGGATTAAATGAGGTCACTCTTGTCAAGTGCTTGGCACCTGGTAGATGCTTATTAAAGGTTTCTTGTTCCAGCTGTTACTTTGCTTTTTGTCCTTACTTCCAAATTCAGGGTGTGTTTCAAAGTTGGGCCTAAATTCCTTCACCTGAGTTTCTTGGGAGTAAACCCCAGGTTGTTTACAAAATCACTTGCCTTTCAAAGAGCCGTGATTTCCTGCCTCAGAGTTCCACTTTCTCTGCCAGGCATTCCTGAGCAGGTGCTGCGTGGGAAGCAGCTCCTGACCTGGAGGGGATGAATACAGTACAGGGATGTTGGGTTGCTGCAGCAGTCCGGAAGCACGAGTGACTGTGATGGGGAGCTTCCTGGAGGAAGTGACGTCTGAATGGTATCTTGAAGGAAGAGTAGGAGTCTGTGATAACCAGAAAGGATGAAAGGTTTCTGGAAGGTGGCACAGCGTGAGCAGAGGCCTTGTGGCGTGCAAGGGCAGGACCGTCATGCCTGTCTGGGTGTGAAGGGGAGGAGGTTAGAGGAGGCTGCAGGGAGAACCAGCAAGACTTGATGTGAAGGCTGAGGGGGCTCAACAAGGTGGCCGCGGCCAGGGCAGGGAGGTGTTGAGATTTGGTTTTGGGGAAGGTGCCTGGCTGTCGGGTAAAGGATGACTGGAGGGGGACCAGAGGTGGTATAGACGGTACCCAGGATCCAGAAGGGAAGAAGCCGGCACAGAGCAGCCAGCTGGGAGAGGCACCGCTGCTGGGGTCCTTTGGGGTGAAGTTCTGGCGATTGCAGCCAGTCAGATGTGGGAGGAGAACGAGGAGAGGAAGGTGACCCAGTGGTGCAGCTCAGGTGGTCGGGAAGGTGGCTGGTGGGGTGGTGGGTGGTTTCTGTGGCCAGGCTAAGGGGGGCAGGCACGGGCCAGGGCGTGTTGCTAGTGGGCCATTCAGATAGCCAGAGTCTTAAAGAACAGATTATACAAATAGGCTTAAAGGATCAGGCGGTGATCCCTAAATCTCAAGGCCAGAGGAAACCCACTAACTCGCCAAAATCCTCAGGGACATTTCTCTCTCCCTCATCCACCTTGGGTTTTCTGCACAGGGAGTTTTGAAAGATTGTGGAAACTGGACAGGCCAGCGTGTGCTGACAAAACCAGGAGGTTCAGAGCCGGGCCGTTTGCTTGGCAGGCCAGGAGGACCCTGGTCCTCATGTCGCGTGTCACATTCATCATTCTCGTATGCTCCCATTTTCTACTTAGAAAGACATGAGAGTCCTCTGTGGATTAAACAAATGAAATCCTGGGCCGTGTGGATGTCGCTTTAGCCTTGAGGCCCCTGGGGATGGAGCTGACCACGGCCTTTGGTTTCTGCTATGCTGTGATCTGGAGCTCTCTTCTGGAACATTCCCTGCCTCATTTCTGAAATGGCAAGCTCCTTGACTCTTTCCACTTGTCGCCACATGTTTTGCTTCTTTTATAGGAAAGCTTCTTGACTAAATTGTCTGTGCCTCTGTTTCCACTCTCTTCTGCTCTCTCCCTAAAAGCCACCTGGGCCCTGGGCCCCCTGCCACCACAGCGACTCGGCACTCGGGCCTCACATCTCATCTCTCAGTGATGGAGCTGCTTGCCCCTCCTCTTTAGGGATTTTTTCCTTGAGTTGGCTTCCCAGCCCCCGCCCTCTGCTGGTGTTTTTCTTTTCTTTCTCCTCCTTCCCCCACTGACCACTGCTGCTCACTCTCCCTGACAGGTTTCTCCTCTTTTTCCTGACCTGGAAATTTTGGAATGCCCTGTGTCTCAGTTTTAGAACTTTCTCTTCTTCTTCTCCTTCCGCGTTTCCCTTGGAGATCTTGCCCAGTGGCTGCCATATTCCCATCTCTAGCCTCCATCTTTCCTCTGACCTCTGACTTGCATTTCCAGCAGTTCTGCATGTCTTATAGGCATCTCAACATGGCCCACACTGAGCTGATTTCCGCCTCACACCTGCTTCTCGCCATGGTGCTCCATCTCAGCCAATGGCACCAGCCTTCCATCATCCAGGTGCTCGGCCAAAAATATGAGCCATCTTTGACGACCCCCCTTCTTTAAAAAAAAATTGTCTTTCAAATTTCTGTTTTGTAATATTTGACACATACTCGGTTAGCAGTATCTGCAAGGGATGAAGCAAGTTAGTGAAATGCTCGCTTGTGTCCCACCACCCTGCTGGAGACGAGCGTTACCTGTGCCCGCATCCCCTGAGCCTCCTCCCTCTACCCCTCTTCTCATGACACCCAGCATCCCCGCCCTGGCACGGTGTGTGGGCCCCGCCTTCAGAGTGTGTCCACGCTGTACCATGGCCCCCTTCACCCAGACCACTGTTAGATCTCCCTGGGTCCTTGCAGCCATGTCCCTTCCTCCCCCATCTGCTCTCCACATAATAGCAGAGGGACCCCTTTACACCATGAGTCGTGTCATGTCCCCCCTCTGCCCAAACCCGCCCAGGGCCTGCACACGCCTTCTTGCTGCTTCTTAAACAAGCCAGCCTCCTCCCGTCTGGGCCTGGGCCATGGCTCCGCCTCTGCCCTGGGCTCCTCGGAGCTCCACGTGGCATCCCGTCCCTACTCCAGGAAGCAAGGTGGCCACCCCCTGCCCCTCCACCCTGCTCTGCCCTGCTACCCTGCTCTGCCCCGCCACCCTGTGTTCTTTTCCTTCCACCTCTCACCAACTGCAGCTAAATCTGCACGAATCCCCCCAGCCCCCCATTTATTATCTGTCTCCTAAGGACACTGTAAACTCCAAGATTGTACCTTTAGCACCAGGCACCATGCCTCATGCACCATAGAGCTTAAAATCTTAGGCTCTTAACATCTTAATCTTAAAAATAGGTTGACTGTGTGTGCGCCAGTGGATAAATGATGATACATCTGTGCGTGAATGAGCGCATGAACGTATGCCTGAAGAAATGAAGCATGGATCCTGGTGAGCAGGGAGGAAAGGACACGAGGCTCTTCTTTCAGGACCTCTGAGTAGTTGTCACTGTCTTTACTTTTATTTTCCTGGGATTCCGAGTTGGAGCATCCCGTGATCCTGACTTCATTTCTCCTTGTTGGTCTTCCTGCTGCTCACTGCTTACAGCAGCAGGGACTTGTTGCTTCAATTTTAAAAATCTGGGGTAAAAGACGACGAATTTGCTTGGCTGTTGTCCGGGAGGTCGTCCGAAAGACCAGATGAATCTCAGAACTCATAATTCTCAAAATTAATTAAACCCTCCTTCCCAATTATGAGCGAATTAAGTTGGTCGCTTTTGAGGCGAACAGGGCAGGAATCTGGGTCGCGCTCCCGGCCGGTCTGGGGCTGCGTGGGTGACTGTCTCTGTCTTCTCCTTCAGGGCTGCCACCTGGGACTATGAGCCGCTAAGATGGAGACGTCCGCCTCCGCCGCTGCCTCAGAGAAGAAGGAAGCCAAAAGTGGGATCCTGGAGGCCACCGCTTTCCCCGACCCGGCCAGGAAGGCCTCGGCTCTAGCGGTGGCCACAGCGGCCGCGGCGGCGGTCGCTGCCCAAGGAGGTACTCGCTGTTCTGCGCCTGTGCCGGCAGGAGGGGTGTTTTTCATTAGCCTATTAGCATTTAATTAGCCTGGTGGCCGATGTCATCAGGCAGGCATGCTGGGTTTATGGAGGGCGGAGAGGAGGGCCTCCTGCTTCTGGGGATCCCAGGCACTGTGCTGGTCGCCTGTAGGTTTTCTCGGAGGTCTGGCCACCCCAAATCTGGGGGGCTGGGCTGTCATCTCAGACTCTGGCGGGCAGGGGGTGGGGGTCTGAGAATGGGGAGAGGGAGCGGAAGGGAGGCGCTGTGGCTGCTGGGCGGCCCTGGGCTGCATTCAGTTGGCACATTCGAGATGGGCCAGCTATGCCGCTTCTTGTCTCTGGCCCGCCAAGGTCTATTTTGGAAAGTAATTGTCTCTCGATCCTTCTGGCTGTAATTAGAGGGTCAGGTATGGAACTTAGTATCCTTAGGTGAATTTCTGGCCAAGTTAATTATAACAGAAGGACTACACGAGCCACAGCCTCTCATTTTACTGCCCCGAAGAGAAATACTCTGGTTTCCACTGGTCTTTGCCAGCATCCCGTTGGGAAAGTTTGGCGGGAAGGCGAGACCTCCCGTGTGTCTGCGCAGTCCATCTGGAGGCCACAGAACTATTTCTGTCTCCAAGGAATGGAGAGACTTAGATTTCTTGTCATTCCCTTTTTATTCAAGTGCGTTTAGTCATGCCCTGTTGCTCCCGCTGCTCAGGCACAGCCCGGAGAGCAGTGGGGAGAAGCCGCCTTCGCTGGGGTGGGTGTGCAAGGCCGGCAGTGCCTCTACCCTGTGATGCGCATACACATTTCGGGGGGCTTGTTAGGGTGCGACCCGCTTCAGCAAGTCAGGTGGGCCTGAGGTTTCTGCGTTTCTAACCAGCGCTCAGGTGACACTGGTGCTGCTAGTCCCTGGGCCATGCTGGGTGCAGCTTGGGGCCGGGGCCCAGGGAAGCGAAGATACTTGGAGCGTATAGGTGTCCCTGCTCCCAAGAGTGAACTTGAGGACCTCTGGGTTGTTGTTACCATATTTATTTGCAGGTCCCCTGTGCTGCCCAGCTGGAGGTCATTATCAGGATGTGTGGCCCGAGTCAGGAGAGGGAGATGCCAGCCCAACCTCTGTGCTCTCACAGGGAGGCGGGCCATTGGCCTCCTGACCTGGGTGATGCCCCTCGACTCCTGTCTTCTTGGAGATGGGGTCTTCAGGCCCTTCCTCCGTGAGGAGGGGCTGGTGTGGGGCGGGGGTGGAGGAAGAGCTCTTACCTGGCATGGGAGGAGCGAACCCAGGGTGGACTCCCCACGCAGGGTGGTGTCAGGGAGCCAGGAGACGAGGTGAGGGGAAGCCCAGCTGGGAGGCTGGCGGTGGCTCAGAGGCCCGGCTGCCTGTTCCCAGGGCTGGCTGTCCTGGGCCTGGCTGTGTCTGCACATGGTCTGTTCCTTCCCCCGGGTCAGGGCCCACCCTGGCCTGTGGCGATGCCTCAGGCTGTCCCTCTGTCTGACACACAGGTGCTTGGGGCTCTGAGGCCCGCTCTGTGTATCTCTGGCCTGCCCCTCAGCTCTTCCCGCCTCAGCCTGGGTCGTGCTCTCCAGAGCTGTGAGTGAATCATGAGCTGCTGCACAGCACAATTTACTGTGTGTCACAGTAGCAGAGAACAGACTTAGGCAGTAATTAGACAGTAGTTAGACAGTAATTGGGGGGAAGCCCCTCCAGCATCAGACCCAGTTGTGCAATCATGACAGATGCTTGAGGGGTTCTGGATCTAGGAGGGATGGGCAGCAGGCCTATAGCTTGGAGTACAGCAGCTCCACGGAGGCGCTCACCCCTTTCCACCCCACACCCACCCCAGGGTGCCTTCCCTGCCCACCCCCGCAGGCCCTCTTGTCTCCTCACTGCCCGACCCCAGGGGAGCTTGGCTGATGAGTTTCCGGCAGAGGATGGGTTTGCCTGTCAGCCCACCTGCCCCAGGGCAGGTGGCTTGCGGTCCTCAGAGAGGCTGGAGTCGGGTTCCGCTGCTGCTGGAGAGCCTCCTCAGGCCCCCGCTCCCTTGCCCCTCGCTGAAAGGCCTATTGGGGAAGGGCCCTCCTGGAGTCAGAGAAGAGCAGCTGTTGCTGCATGGAGCAAATCGGAGAGCATCTTGGAGCGGGTATCCCGGTGCTGGTGGACTTTGACGACTGCGTTCTGCGGATGGGGTGAGGGAGGCCCGGTGCTGCGGCCCAGAGGGCGCTGGCCTGGTTCCTAGTTCCAGCAACATCCTGGGTCCTGGTGTGGCATCTTGTTCCCTTCTCTGGGCCCTGCTTTCCTAATCTGTGTCCTGAGGGCATTTGACAGATAGTGTCCAAAGTCTCTACGATCTTGAGACATGGGATCTTGCTTACATCTTATCCATGGTGGCGGAGGTGCTGTTAGCAAGAATCCTCAGTTACTCAGTGAAATCGAGTCCCGGAAGGCTCCAAAGAGCCTCTGACGTGCCCCTTCCTGCACGCAGGGGTGTGGAGCTGCCGACAGGTGAGGGGAATGCATGGAAGGAGATGCCAGGTGGGAGAAGGTGGTTTGCACAGGTCCCCGACACAGAGGCCCCCTCAGGGGTGGGGACGTTCTCGCACTCAGCTCTGGGTCTCGGGTCCTGGTGCTGGGCCGGGCCTGAGATGGCACCTGAGTGTGTCCTGTGCACCTGAGCAGTGTGAGGAGGGAGGGGGGGGGGGTGGGCGAGGAGCTGGGCCGAGGAGGGGTGGTTTGGTGGAGCAGCAGCATTTGCCTAGCTCCTGAGGAGGCTGGATGCCCAGCCTGCAGGCATGGGGCTGGGTGTGGACAGGCGCTGCGGACAGGCCGTTGGGCCTGCACAAAGGCCTGCGACAGGGGCAGTGCTGCCCTGCGCATCCTGGACTGGAGCAAGGGTGTAGGGAGCTGAGAACTGCTTGTTGAGGGGACCCTGTCCCTCAGCTATTTCTGGAAAAGATAGAGTGACCATCCCAGTCCAGGGAGGCTTGTCTGAGGCCTGTTTGCTGCGGCAGGAGTGTGGCTGAGCTGACTCCCCGGTTGCTGTGCAGGTGACTGCTCAGACACCTGGCTCCTCCAACGCCCGTTTATCTCTTCAAAGCCTGTGAGACTGTCCCCACGGTCTGCACCATGATCGGCACCTCACCCAGATGGGATGGCTTACACAAGCTTAGTTTTCCTGGCTTATTAAACATCTGTCAAGGGGTGGGGTGAGTCCTGTCTGAGGACGTCAGGGGCACTCTGGTGAGTAATGGGCAGTAATGACAGACGGACCAGATCCTGCAAACTGGCAGCGCTGTGATTGCCCATGTCTGCGGGGTGTCCACATGTGGGGGCACCTGTATTCCAGGCCAGCTTCTGACTCCTCAGCCAACCCTCCCCGACTGCCACCAGTGCCAGGTGTTCCAGTTCCACCGCTGGAATTCTATGACTTTGGTTCTAGGAGTGAGCACACCTTTAGGCAGAAAGATTTCATTTCCACGTTATTTATAAGTGAAAAATTGAGAACAGTGTTAATTGTTTAATGATAGGAGATTGATTAATCAAACTGTGGAACATCTATTGAATGGAACATTCTGTAGCCATTTAAAAACGTTTATCAAGACTTTATAATAATGGGGAGGGATGTGTTTATAGTAGTTATTAGTAGAGAAAAAGAGCAGGATGCAAATTCTATCTTGTGAGCACGACTTTATAAGGTAGCGAGGTTCTCTTAGCAGTGCTTGTCCAGATGTTGGAACTCAGGGTGATGTACGTGGCATGCAGGAAACTCACCCCTTTGGTTCTTAAGGACTTCAGCCTTCTAGAACTCTCTGTTACAATGCAAGTATCTTGGGAGGCAGGGGTGTGCTGCAGCCAGCCCGTGCCAGCTTGTGAGAGCTGAGTGCGTCTCCGTCTAGTTCTGCCATGTAAGACCTGAGGTTGGTAACTGAAATTGGCATGACGGGAGTATTTTCACCACGAAACTGGCAAGCTCTACAGATCGGGCTGCCTCCTCCCCTCCCCGCTGCCAGAGCCCATTGTTAGCACACGACTGATGGTATCTTAAGCCTCACCCAAGATCCTTGACAGCCACCTGATCTGAAGCCCCCTTAGGAACCAGAAAGAGAATGAGTCCAAAGCAAGGAGATAGGATGTAAGGGAGGTGGCGTCCCTGGGGGCAAAGCTTGGGAACCCAGATGGGAGCTTCTAGGTGTTCGGGAGAAGTGGCAGGCATGTCTCATTCTTGAGTGGGGCTGGAGCCTCTCCATTTCGTAGAGGAGGCGAAGATGCTGTGGCGATGGGACTTGCCCAAGGCCGCCAGCTGCTTCAGCAGAGAGCCAGGTCTGGGGCTCGGGCTCCCGCCCCTCCCATGGGGAGAGTCTCTTTCAGATGTTTACTTTTTAGATTGTGAGTTTGCACTGTTGGCAGGTGATTTGGGCCTTAGACCCCAGCCTGCTGATACTCTGGGAAGCGTCCAGTCTCTGCACTAGCCTGAGACGGGTCTCCTCGTCTGTCCCCTAGCCTCAGCTCCCTTGTCTGTCCAACGGCAGACAGCACCTGCTCTCTTCCAGACAGCCACTTCTTTGAGGTCAGTGCTGTGACTTATTTGCAAAAGTCACCTGGCTCGACTGGCCCCTGTTGCTTGACCTCCCTTAGGTCAAGCTCCACCTGCTGGGGGCTGGGTGTTTCCCTCAGAGTCGCCATCTCCCTGAGCCAGAACGGAGGCAGAAACACCTGTGTGGAGCGGAGCAGGGCCTGTTCGAGGGAGAAGGCAGCACGGCGGTCGGCCTGGGGGGTTCGTGGGAGCACCTGGCGGCGCAGCTCCGGATAGCGGCCGGTGGCCTCTTTCCCAGTCTCTCTAGCCCTTGTGCTAACACTTTGGAGGCCGTAAAGCTTTAAAAACACATTTTGGCCCAGAGCTTTTTTTCCCTTTAATTTTTAAAATGGTGTAATTTTAAAGGCAATTTGATTCAGATGTTTCTCATTGCTTTATACCGACACTGCCCAAATGC